AGAAGGGCTAATCCTACCAGCTCCCAGAGCAGGAAGATGAAGGGATCAGTCATGCCAGAGAGCAAAGGAAAGGGAGCATTTGTAGCACAAGGGATGGAATGAAGGCGTCTCTGTGGAGTGAGGGATGGAGCCAGGAAGAGCAGAAGGGGATTGAGGGGAGATTGCAAAACCCAAACTATTAATGTTTGCCAAAGATGGTGGGTTGGGCTTTGGTTTGACACAGGTCTAGTCTGCATCCAGCTCCCACTTACCCCATCTGTCAAACTCGGGGCATTTGGGTAGATGGTTCTGGGCCTTCTGCCCATCTCCCACAGAGCCTGTGATTCAACAGGGAGGCAGAGGAGAGAGTAAAAGAGAGGCGATAGGTGGATCTGTCCACAGAGCAGCCCCCGCTCTCATGTGGGGGCACCAGTGTGGTCTCACTGCTTCCTTCTGTCAACTGAAAGGAAGGATGGGGGGGTGTCCTAGGCTGGTGCATAGGCCCTAGGAGTAGGGGTGAGCCAGGACTCCATGACCCCCCAGAGAACCCAGCAATCCAATGGGGGAGGTGACCCTGCTATTCCTCCAGTTCATCTCTAAGGAGAAGCTCACAGTGGGTGCAGAGAGATGACTTGGTAGAGGAAGGCTGCAAAGTTGTAGTTGCTCAGAGCCCAGGGGAAAGGACACAAGCATCTCTTGCTATGAAGGCCTACAGCCCCCTCCAGTCAGAAACACCCTCAGGACCTTTGTGCACCCAGCAGTGGACTGGGCCTCACAAGATTTGGGTTTTAATTCTGGCTCTGCTCCTTGGTGACCTTGGGGAAAAATCACTGCCCCTCTCTATGCCTGCCTCCCATTCCACCCTTTGTCTGGGTTAGCTCTTCAGAGCAGGGAGTGGCTCTCCCCAGCTTTATGTACAGCCCCTAGCGCTGTGGGGTGCTGATCTCCATGGGCAGTAGGTTGGAAGGGGTGGAAACTTTTGAAGACGAGAGTGTATGGGAGGCAAGGGATAGGCAGGACTGGGGGCCTTCATTACAAAGAAGGGAACTCAAAGTCCCCAGCTCTAGCCAGACTGCTGGTGCCCCTGGCAATTCCAGCCGCATGGTTTTGGATGCTACCAGGCCCCTCATCGCTCTGTTCTTGCAAGTCACAGCCCTTATTAAACAGGCCAAGGCAGTTACACTCTATAGGCCAACCAGGCACTTGGCTCTGTTCCTGGAATTCACACCTTTCATTAAGGACTCCTAGGACCTGGCAGGGCTTTGTTTGGAACGGGACTATTTCTGGGGCCTTCCAGCAGAGCTGCTGTTCTCTCCCAGACATTGAGACCCAGGTTCGGAGCCACCCGTATGCTGAGGGAGGCGCCAGTTGAGGTTTATTCATTTACAACACAACCTTCCCATCATGCCCCAGAGCCACCAAAACCAAGAGGCAACACTAATCCTCTGGGTGCAAGCCGTGCAGATGGCTAGCAGGGCCTGAAGGAGGGCAGTTTGGGTTTCCTCAGGGGAAAGCTTGGGCAGAAGGAGCTGGGCCGCCGCTTTGAACACTAATAGCATCTAACTATCAGCAGAGGAGGCTCATGGAGACATCTCACTTCCAGCTTCCACCAGCAAAAAGCTAGGGCCGGTCAGCACTCTAAGCCAGCTGTGGGGGTGGAGGGAATACATAGGGACACTAATCTGCATTTCTACTTCTCCCAATGAGGCCACACTGCAATTTCCTGCTTGAGGGGCAGGTCAGGCTGTAGCTGGCTGCTTGTTTATCACCTCAGCACCATCCCCTCGTCTCCCTGGAAGAGCTGCCAGAACTGGCACAGCTCATGTCCAGGAAGTGGCTACCTGACCGTGAATTCCTCGTACAGGCAACCCTCGCATAAGTAATACAGGCTTTTGCTCCGGTTTTCAGACACTGATAATTCACCCATCACCCTGGTGTCTAAGAGAGGACTCAGGAGACCATGAGCAACACCAACTTCCCCAGCTATGCCCAGCTGAAGGAGGGGTCATAACCCCAGCTGAGGCTCCCCGCATGATCTATGGTCCCTTCCCTCATTCCCCACAGTGAGAAGAAAACTAGGCCCTAGAGCCCACCACTACTGCACAAACAAAACACTAGTTAGCGTTTGGCCCAAGAGCTAGGTGAGCCACCACAGGTTAGTTTGTGCGCCCCTGTAGCATGGATGCAAATCAATAAAAACAGCACAAGTTACCCTTTGCCAGTTCCACTTGACAGCTGTCATCTAGCTTCCCTTTCTCTCTAGCCCAGTGCCTAGTCACCTCTTATTTTAAAGATGATACAGATCTCACCCCCAGCTGTGCTGCGAAGTGCTACTTAACATCTGTGGCAAGGGAATTGTTTGCACAGCTCTATCCACCTAGGAAACATCACTGAGCCAGCCAAGGGCCATGTGCAAATCCTTTCCAGAGGAGAGGAAAAGCTGGAAGGTTGATTTGTGGAGGTGTCTCCTCCTCTTGGAAGAAGTGGTGCTGTTCTTGTATTTCTGAATTGAGCAGTGCTTATTCTGAAAAGCTAAAAGTTCACCTGCGACCTGAATCACACATGGTGGGAACGGATCCAGTTTGCAGAGTGTGAATGAAGACGCAGGCTAGTATTGTTACTTGGCAGCAATAGCAACTGGCAGCCTTTTGAGGCAGATGGAGCAAAATGAGCTGAAGGTGACTAGAGCCCTGCAAATCAGCGGATATCCACTTTACATCCGCAGATATCCACGGACTCTTTTTGCCGATCGCGCATGGATGCGGATCCAAATGTGGTATCTGAAGCTCTGCAAATATCCGCTTTATAGTGGCAGATGCAGGTATCCACCGATCATTTTTGTGGATTGGATGCAGATACCAATTTTGAATGGGCGCAGGGCTCAAAGGGGATTCAGGGCAACGCAGCATGCAGGCAGTTATTTGAGAAGAGAAGCAGTTTGCTAGCCATACAATTGGTGTTATCAATGCTGAGCTCAGTTTTGCACTACGGGTACACAGCAGTAGGACAGCAACCTATTTATGCACTTAGCAAGACAGCCACATTCAGCCTGCTCCTGTACCCCAACTATACAAGGCCTGATTCAATACAAAAACATCTAAGTACTTGGTCCTTACAGCAAACCTAGGTGTGCATCAATTCTCCTCTCACACCCCTTTAAATCAGGAGCACCCTCACTGAGGGCAACCGAGTTCCTGGCACACAGAAGTATGAGATCAGAATCAGGCCCACACTAAGCAGCCTAGCCCTTCACTTGGCTAGGCAATTGTAAGATGTTTGGCTGGCTGGCTTCAGCCCTTAACCTATCTCAGGCCCAGTTTGCAGCCACATAAGTTGAGACAAAGCCAATGGGAAGCACAAGCTAAAAAACTGGCTCAGAAAGAGAGGAATTTGATGTACATGCAGCAGCAGCTCCCACGGCACAGGACTTGAATACAGCCAGCTCTGCTGCATTCAGCTAGTGACTTTAGTTTTCTCTTAAAATGTAAAATGGAAACAGACCCACTCCATTAGATATAGCAAATGCAAAGACATTTAACTTTTGGGTTAGATGCTGCCTCAAAGAATCTGTGCATGGACAAGCCTTGCACCAAAAGCAACTTGGCATTTGCCTACACCCAGCCGTTGCACTGGTTAATTATGGTTAAACTGGTAGAAGACTGTGTGGGGTGGAGGCGCAGGCACTGGCATCAGTTTAAACCTGGCTTATAGGGGTTCTGTTTGCACCTGCAAGTTAGGTCCGTAAAAACTAGGCTAAATGGAAATGGGACACAATCCAAAAACCAGAGGGTCTCCACACCCAGCCTGGCCCAAGAACCACCACCCAGTTAGTTTCTTGGGTGCCAGCTGGGCCCTAGGACAGCAGGGTTTTAAAGCTGTACCAGACTTACCCCACCTTTGGCTTTCCTGCTTTTTATTCAGTATTTGCAGAAAAGCTTCAGCAAAGGACTTTGCTGGCCTTGCCAGCACGAGAGGAGCCAGGGGTCTGATCGGAGCCAGGCTACATACGTGGACATTGTAGAGCTACTCGGAATTAACGTTAGGCCAGATTCCATGTTCCCCACAAACTTGCTTTGGCTTGCTTTGTTACAGGCTCAAGTACTTCACCCTTAGGCAGGGGAACCCTATGGCAGGAGGAGCAGCATGCCAAGGAGGGTGGCCGTGGTCCCAGAGGCTCTCAAGCCCAGGAGAGGATTGATGGTTTGCATACAGCGCTCCCTGTTCTGACCCACCAGTTTTTTCCCCCCCCCATTCCATCCCACAGAGCAGCCAACGGGGCCTTGAAGTTGGAAGGTGTCTTACTTTGCACTCCGCCATTTCAGGGCAAGTGCTTCCATTTCGCATGAAGCCATGCGAGCCCACACCTGAGCAGAAAACCGGTTTAGAGCAAGGCACGCTGGGGACGAGGCCAAATATTGCACTGCCAACAGAGATCCACCCGAGGGAGGTTTTGGTTTGTGCCCATTTGCTCAGTTTCTAAAACAACTTTGGCAATTCAGCACTTGCGGCCTCCTGAATTGGCAGCCAGCTCCGTGCCAGAGGCTGAAGCACACGGCCCACAAACCTCGAGGCCTCCACGGGGCTGAGTCACAGACGTGATTCCTGCAGCTCAGGCATGAACGAACAGCAGCAGCTCTTTTGCCTATGGACAGTCACAGAGCAGCAGCTTCCCCCTGGACAGGGGAAAGTCTGCAGTTACATTGGGCACATGGAAGCAACTGGAAAAAACCCATCATTTCCTGTCTGACTCTGGAGGCATTAGATGTTTTGCACAGAATCCCACCACCCTTCCCTCTCTCCTTGGAGTCCTCAGGCGCTGTCAGTACACCCTCTGCTGAGGAGGGCTGAATACACACATGATCAGCATGGGTGTGAAGAAGCAGCAGGCACTGCTCAGGCTCCCAGATCCCATTGCCAGAAGTCACTTCAGAGTCTTAGTTGTGTCCTGTAGCCTGTCCTGAGAGTTCTGGATGTCCCCACTCATCCAGAGTGGAACATCTGCTTTGGCCCCTCTCTCTGCCCTCCGACAGCCTGAAGATCCATTTGCCATCCCCCCCACATCATACGACTCCTAGCTCGACCTTTCAGTGCACCGCCTCCTTTTCTGCAGCCAGCATCCTGGTGAGCCGGGGTAGCAGCAGTCTCGTCAGCGCAGTTCAGATGATGAGACAATGCTGGAATGTTCTGGATCCCTGCGGGACACTTCAGGCATTATGGGAAAGCATCTGCCATGTGTCCCAGCTGATGGCACCAAGTGAGCTTAAAAACTGTAATTGGCACTAGAGATGGTCATTGGAAAATAGGTTCACGCACACAGAAACTTTTGATTTTTCCACCAAAAATAGACCCAAACCCCAAAATATTTTGACTGGTAAATGCAGCCTCATATTCCCTCTATAGAGGAGAATGGGAACAGACATCTGAACTACAACTCCCATAAGGCAGGGCAACCCCATTTCCAAATGACAGCGTTTCAGTTTGCAGAATCTGCTTTTTCAGGGGAAAAAAAATCTCTACAGTTTTCTGCAGACAGCAGGCATCGCTTGGTACTTTACAAAGGCCAGGTGCAGAGGGCAAGCCACCTGCCAACGTGTGGCAGAGCTAGGAACAGAACATAGATTTCCAACATCCTAGTTCTGTGCTTTAACAAGATTGTCCCTTCCTCCTTTCAGTCAGCGCAGAGTGAACGTGTGGAGGAGAAGAGGACAATTTAGGCAGACTGTCTCCTGTGACTCTAGAGTGGAGCTATCCTAGCACCCAAGTCACTCCAAACCCCCACTCCCACATTAGCCAGCAATCTGGGGAACATTCCCCCATATTCTGACAAGAAGCCTCTGTGTTCTAATCTTCAGCCACAGAAGGCACTATGCTCAACCCCAACCCTGCCAAATTTGAGACCTACGCATCTCCATGGGGTACATATGTAGCACTAGCTGAGTGTCTTTCTCTACCCACCACCACAGGACACAAAACCTCCAAACTGGGATTATGGGGGTGGAATTGCACACACCTCCCATCTTTGCAAGGTGTCTCATGGTGGACCCATAACCTGCTTTGCAGGCCCCTCTCCCACCCTGGGGCCTGCTGTGTTGAGAGCTCCAGTGCATCTTCCAGTGATTTTGGGGGGGGGCGGGTAGGAAGGAGAGGAGAGAGAATAGGGGAACAAATGTATTGTGCATAGGTCAGCAGGCTGGACAAGCCATTAGCAGCCCCAAAGCCTTCTTCTGAGAGAGTTGTATACATTAAAATACAGCTGCTTCCCTTCCGCAGAATTAGACAGACAAGCAAGCACACCCAGTCTGAATGCTCTGGTGTTTCACTTGGTGAGATAGGTCCAGAGAAGGCCAGTAGTCTTAACCCACCTTGCAACACCACAAGAAAGCTTAGCAGGTCTGTCCATCTCTTCCAGGGTAAGGCTCAGCGTAGACGCCATAGCTCTGTGAGGGATGAGCAGCCCTGACTAGCAATGCCCTCTGCCATATAGGCAAGCTCACACTGCCAGGAGAAACTGGCTCAGCCAGGAATTTCCAACTGGACACACGCACACACCCCCTTTGGTCATTTGGCTGCATCCAGCCATTAGCATCATCTCTGCATAAGTTTTAACACTTCTGACATGCAAAGCACTGGGTAGAATCCTAAATGGGCAGCAGGAGAACATTCCAACTGTTGCTACTGAAAATAATAAAACCAAAAAATTCCTAAATAAAGAGGTTTACAGGCCAACTTTCCAGACCCAGGTGCTCAACTTCCCTCACAATTAGCCTTGTGGTGCATCTTTTCGTGCGAGTGAGACACACATCTGCAGATGCAGAGTGGCTGAACGCAAACAAACAGTTGCACGTGCATATAGCTGGTGGTTCAGTTTAGGCGCTTAGGTTTGGAAGTTTAAGACAGATCTTGTCAGTTGCACTTTCCAGGAGCCTTCAGCAAGGCCTGGGGCTGTTCAGCCTGCCATTAAATGGGGATACACAGCTCCCAAGAAAGGGGCTTATTCATTGGGATCCCATCTACATGGACTCCTTGTAAGCTGTAATTACTTTAAAGAAAACCAAAGCACACCACAGTTGTGTCCAAGTAAAGCAGATGCCACCAGCTCAGTAACCCCTGCCCCAGGGGCCGCATCACAGCTTTCCATCTAGGCACACAGCATCCAAGAGACCCTGGCACTGGTCAGGCTCTGGTTGCCCATGCTGGCGATGTGTATTTTGAAGCCAGAGTCCGTGATGTCCAAAGCTCTCACCGAGATGCCCACAGAACCACGAGTGCTCAGCCCCACCAGCCCCAGCATAATCGCGGGCTGGGTTGGGACACGGTGCGGGAAGCTGATCTCGTGCACATGCGGCCACCCACAGCCATCCTCAGTCTCACAGCGGGTCTGTACTTCTCCTGAGAGACCTGGTGGGGGCGGGGGAGAGAGAAGGGAAACAAGAGGTTAGTTTCCTTTCCTTCTGTTGAGGGCATCAAGCCAGTCTTCCCACTGACCCAACACACCGTCCCATTGCATGATCCATTTCTGTATATCTTCTGTCACCATGAGAGGCAACCCATAACTGCAGAGCCAGAGTTAGGCAGCTGTACAATGCCCTGGAGGAAGATGTATCAGAGATACAGTCCCATAGCTTTAAATTCCCACCAGTCCACCATGAAAGAAATCCATATTAGTTAATAGCATTCCCCTGCAGGGGGGAAGAGGAACTTTAGGGCAGCAGGACTGTATCGTGCTCTCCGGTACGGGGCATAAGCACTGCAAAGCACAGTGTGCTCCACAATCAGGGGACATCTCATTTTTACAAGTATCAGAGAGGTTGCCGTGTTAGTCTGGATCTGTAAAAAGCAACAGAGTCTCCTATGGCACCTTAAAGACTAACAGATGTATTGGAGCATAAGCTTTCATGGGTGAATGCCCACTTCACATGCATCTGACGAAGTGGGTATTCACCCACCAAAGCTTATGCTCCAATACATCTGTTAGTCTTAAAGGTGCCACAGGACTCTCTGTTGCTTTTCTCATTTTTACAGGGACTGGAGATGGCCACTGCACAGATCAGAGTCAATTTCAGTGCCTTCCAGAGAGTCTCAGTGAGCCCACAGGGTGGAGAACAAGCTGGCAGAGATCTACCATGAGACTGCAGAGACAGGAGTCATTTAGCCTGGCGAAGCACCCACAAGGAGCTGGAAGGGGACAGCCCTGAGCAGAGATCAGGTATCACAGCACAAGATCAAGGGAATGCTTGGCACACCACAGGGTAAGGAACATGCCATTACTAGAGATGAACGCCCGCTCCTCCAGGAAAAGCAATCAGTGCTGTGACAATTAGAGAGGCTCCTAATTAACGCACAGTGACAGGCGGCACATTCTCACCAACTAGTGTTCCACGGGGAATGGGAACCACAGCATCAGGGAACTACGCCTGGAGTGGAGAGAGGACAGGACAGGGGATGGGATCCCAAAAAAACAACCCGGGGAGAGGGTGTAAGGAGCCCAAAGCAATTCAGATCTGCTATAACCCAGGGCTCTGGAGTAGCAAGCTCTGGCTGGACTGAATGGAGCCAAACCCAGAGCAGTAAACATAGGCACCACAGCTCTAGTGTGACGGGGAGACCCAGTGGGCCTGCGGTTAGGGTCTCATCTCATTCCCTGGCTGGGTGCCTGGGAGAGGAACATTCAGCCCTGAGTGGGGCAGGAAGGCAGGCAGATGGCAGCGCCACAGGGAGCAATGTCCAGCTCTCCTCGGGTGAAAGGACCCTGCAGGCCGAGGAAGCCCTGGGCTCAGGGGACAGCCTGCCTCAGGAGGGCAGAGACCCATTTCTGCTCACCCTGACGTGCCTCACTTTGGGAGTGAAGAGGAAAAAAAACACTTGCATGGCAGTTCCCAGAGGCTCGGTGGTACAGAATGGGGCACTTCTCATCCACAGAGAACCCCTTACCCCCGCCATGTACCTGGAGAAGCCCCTAAGGACTCAATCAATCAAGGCCCTTCCTCCCATCATCAGGATTTCCAGGGACTGAGATCAGATTTGATTTTGTAAAGAAACCCCTGTGCTGTCTTCCCATGCAAAGAGCTTTGAGCACTTGCAGTCCCACAGCGCCCCCCTGTGGACATTACTGGATGATAAAATTTAGCTGCAAATTTGGATTAAGAATATGGAATGTCACCTATCTCAGATGGTTCAGAGACTCTTACCACACCCCACCCAAGCACACTGTCCCTGCAGGGTTGGCCATGTCTCGCTCACCACAGCTCCTCATTGGCTCATGGCCTGGAACATTTTTATCCCAGTTGTCTAACTGCAGCTGCTGCTCTATTGGTGCCAGTGTCTAATCCTTTGGGGGAAGTGCATTCAGCCAGTGCTGTCCTGCAACAGTGGGTCCCAAGGGTTGGTTACACACTCCATGAAAATTCCCTGTTAGCTATTTTAACATGCACTGCTTCTGAAATTCACTGGGGAGTCCCCTTATTATGCTACTGGGGAACTAGATTCCACCACCTCCCTAGGTAACCCATTCCAGTGCTTCACCACACTCCTAGTGAAATAGTGTTTCCTAATATCCAACCTAGACCTCCCCAACTGCAACTTGAGACCATTGCTTCAGGTAGTTGAAGGCTGCTATCAAATCCCCCTCTCACTCTTCTCTTCTGCAGATTAAATAACCCCAGTTCCCTCATGCTCTCCTCGCAAGTCATGTGCCCCAGCCCCCTAATCATTTTCGTTGCCCTCTGCTAGATTCTCTCCAATTTGTCCACATCCCTTCTGTAGTGGTGGGACTAAAACTGGACACAATACTCCAGGTGTGGCCTCATCAGTGCTGAATAGAGGGGAATAATCACTTCCCTTGATCTGTTAATGCTCCTACTAATACAGCCCAATATGCTGTTGGCCTTCTTGGCAACAAGGGCACACTACTGACTCATATCCAGCTTCTCATCCACTGTAATCCCCAGGTCCTTTTCTGCAGAACTGCTGCTTAGCCAGTCGGTCCCAAGCCTGTAGCAGTGCATGGGATTCTTCCTTCCTAAGTGCAGGACTCTGCACTTGTCCTTGTTGAACCTCAGAAGATTTTTTGGCCCAATCCTCCCATTTGTCTAGGTCACTCTGGACCCTATCCCTACTCTCCAGCGTATCTATCTCTCCCCCCAGTTTAGTTTCATCTGCAAACTTGCTGAGGATGCAATCCATCTGCTCATCCAGATCATTAATAAAGATGTTGAACAAAACCGGCCCCAAGCCCGACCCTTGGGGCACTCCGCTTGATACTGGCTACCAACTAGATATCAAGCCGTTGATCACTACATGTTGAGCACGACAATCTGGCCAGCTTTCTATCCACCTTATAGTCCATTCATCCAATCCATACTACTTTAACTTGCTGGCAAGAATACTGTGGGAGACTGTATCAAAAGCTTTGCTAAAGTCAAGATATTTTCACATTCACCGCTTTCCCCACATCCTTTATTGGTATCCAAAATAGTGAAACTCCCTACTTGCATTGTGAGCTCCCTCCAAGGAACAGGAATGATCAGCTCCCATTGTCTAACCTAAACAACGCAACTTTGGTAATACTCCCCTGAGCCATCAGTTTACCCATAAACAAATCTAGTGTTCTCCCTTGAACCATTGTTCTTTCTCTACAAAAACCCCTACCCATGCTCAAGTAAGTGTTCTGATGCCTGGATCCAAAATCTGCATCAGTTCCATTGGGACTTCATCTTCTCCTGACTGATCGTGGGGGGTAGGGGTGCGCTCTGCCTGTCTCCAGCATTCCGGACCCTCAGCTACCACCCCACCTGGGACCCCCAATTGATTCAAGCTTCGTGGAGTGGTGAGAACCCAGCTCTCTCTCTAGGTGAAGCCTTCTGACCCTGACTTGTGTGATCAGTTATAGTTTTCTAAACCTGACTTTTATAATCAAATGTCTGTTAGATTTAATACTGTAACTGTTTTGTTTGTTTGGCTCCCCTTGTATGATTATTACCTGGCAATAAATAACTTCCATGATTAAGCTGGTTGCTTCTCTCTCTCCCACCCTTGTGGGTATTTTTTGGCTTCCCCATTCGCTCTGCAGCAATGCTCCTCAAAACTAAGCTACAGATCCCTTCAGTGCCCAAAAATCCTGTGGGGTTTACTCATCAAGTGGGTTACTACCTGGGATATATGAGGGTGGCAGCTTGGACGTGCTGTTCGACTCAGCCTGCTGAGTCCAGGGGCATAGAAGGGGTCAGCTGGGGAGTGCTGCTTAACCCGGTCAAGAGAGAGAGTGTGTGAATGTGTGTACAAACCCAGCCCTGGGGTACAGAGGTCCTGCAGGATAGCTCCATTGGGTGGGAACTTGCAGCAGGGAGAAGCAGAGCTCCGTATGAGAACACAAGTGATAAGCAATACATTGATGGAATTACAGAAACCCCCCTCTCCCCAGAAGAGTAACCTTAATAAATGAGTGTACCCCAGAGTAATGGACAAATCTGGTAACAATGGACACGTGCAATGGGGACCTGCTCCACAAACACCCTGTTAGACAGACAGTGACGGGAGCAGTGTGGGCTTAGACAGATCTCAGCATCTTCTCTGCTAGTCAGAAATCACTCCAATTGGGTGTTTTGAGGGCAGGGGGTGGGTTAAACAGAGCCTGTGCAGGGATAGCCAGAGGGACCTGCTGGGCTGGCATCAAAGCTCACGGACAACCCGACTGCCGCAATAACAGTGCGCTCTATAGTCTATGGACTTGCTTCCCCTCCCCCACCCGGGGGCGAACATACCCCAATCACTTGGGCCATTGAAGTCTGCACAAGGTTGAGCCACCCAGCACTGGAAGAGAAGAGACAACTGGCTTCCATCTCTGGTTCCCAAGCAGCATGCAGAGGGGTGCATGCACGTGCCCATCTGATGAGCAAGCAGAACATGCGGCAGGGGTGGCTTCCAATGCCACACCCAGTCGTTCAGTCTGTGGGTTGTCCCCCCACCCCACCCCCCTGCTCCAGGAAGGGATTTTGCTCTTACATTGCTGCAGGCTGGTGCCCAGGCTGCTCTCCAGATTGGCCATCCCAATCTTTAGACCCTGCAGCTGCTGCTCCACGACACCAGAGAGCTGTGTGTTCAGATTGACCATGCCCAGCTCCACCTGAAGAGAGAGAGGAAATCCAGGGCATGGGACAGACTCTTTGCCCCAGGCACAGGCTTCCTCAGAGAGCAGCGCATGGTGAGAGTCACGGTCACATGCCGTGACCTCCCTGTGGGGCTGGGAGCTACCCCAGCTTCCTACCCAAGGACACACCCCTCTCACCCTGCAAAGGGCTCTCACAGACCCTGGCAACCACATACATGGAGCTTCCCTGCTTGCAGATGGCACTGCTGGAGAGTTCCACTTCCCGCAGGGTCCAGGGAGGTGCCAGGTAAAGGGCTTTGCAGCAAAGGTCTGTGTGCGAGCACGTGGGGCGAGATCAGTGCAGGCGAGAGGCACTGGAGACTGAAAGCCTCTGCTTTTGGTTCGAGACCTGCACATCCTCCTGCACTGCAGGGAGCAGCACTGCCCACATCTGCACTCTTAGGGCTCCTAAAGCCCAGTTCTGGCGTTCCTCCTCACTGCAGGTATTTGCTTTGGTGGGTTTAGGCCCAACCCAGAAGCTCATGTGACTAACTGTACTGCAGAACCCTCTCCCCAAAGGATATCCGGGTACTGAGCTGTAACGCTTCCCCCCCATCTCCACACCCAACAGCTGAGAAATTCTGCTGGGAAGTAAATCCGGGGGATTCTGCTACCAAAATAACGTCACATTCCATGAGTCCAGCCAGCTCGCTACAAGCCGATAAACCTGCAGGGCCCAGAGCCCAATGCGGACCTGTGATGCAGAAGCCCTCACTTGTGCGTTTTGCAGGACACATCTTTAAGACCCACCTCTGTGATGCAGACTGCCCTACACCGCTTGAAGTAACAGCATTTTACAGTGATCACAGCATGTCAGTTGCATTTGTTTTTAAATCTGCAATTCCACATCTGTCCCCCACATAT